GAGAGACAGATTATAGCTCCTGGCCTCCTTCCTGGTTGGCTGCACAATAAAGCCTTTTCTTTTTGCCAAAACCCAGGTTCCATAGTATTGGTTTCTATGTGTGTTGGGCAGTGATCCTTGCCTCTTTTAGATACTATTTTCTCTAACAGTAACCTCAAATTACAGAATGTTCTGCTGCCCTTGTAAATGTGTTGGGTGAGGTGTCTCTGGCAATACTAGGATCTTTGGAATCCCTCCTTTTTGTCTCAGAGAATCAGAAAACTTTTTTAAGCTGGACTTTCCTTTTCCCCACCCCATGCCTTTTGAACTGTCACCTGTGCATAGGCAGGGGGAACCAAATTGCTCAAGAATGAAGTTCTAAAATGTGTTATTTTTCTGCCACTTCTAATTCTGGGAAAGGATTAGTGCTAATCATTTCTTTTTAATTTCCTGTAACATACCTTAGGTGATAATGCTGATGATATATAGTCTGAACTAAGGAAGGGGAAAACATTGACTTCAATGGGGCTGCTCTACAGTAATTGGTACTTCATAAGCTTCATTTGTGCCTTTGTGACAGAGATGGTGAAATTTATCGGGGATAAAAGCTCAAAGAAATGGAATTGGCACTTGGCTTTCCAGCTGTCTCTTTTGAAGTGTACTTCAGAAACTTTAATAGGTAGAAACTACATTTAAATTTAGATACTATTTTCTCTAAGCTTACCAATACAGCCTTTTAAAAAATGTGCTCTAAAGATGCTTGCAACTTGAGCTCAACAACTATTATCAACAACCAAAGTTTGTTTCACAAACCCACTCCTTTTGTGTGTCAGTTGGAGGATAGGCAACTCTAGAAAAGCATAGTTCTCGGATCCCCAGCAACCACTGAAGCTAGTAATTAATGATAAAAAATCCCTAGATGTACCCCAAAGAATCACATTCATTCTGCAAACAGTATACCAGGATGTTTATAAACAACCACCTGGACCGAGCCCGTAATGGATTATAGTCTGTTTTCTTTGCAGACAAACAAAGCTTCAGATTTCTACAACAGAAAGTCTAAGACCTCAGTGATAAGAATTAATCTCAACTCAGAAGATTTAAGGCTTAATTAGAATTCTGATCCAAGACAGCAGACTGTGCGAACTGCTGTTGCTAAACTGTACTGTGTAAACATTGCATACTGATGGAATTTGCTTGTCAACTCAACTGGCATTTCTGTGCAGTAAGCTTGTCTTTCTGTCAGCAGAGTGCATCCTGGGAAAAGATCAGCATCTCAAAGGAATGTGATCTGCATGTGTAAAGAGGTGTGTGGGGGGGATCCTCAAAGAAAAGGAGCTATGTACATTTTTTCAGCTGTGCTTAGAGGTTAAAAAAATTCTAACAATGTGTATTTTGGTCTCAGGATAGTGAGGGGTTTCTTTCTAAGAATTGAAAGAAAAATTTTATTTTTAAATTTAAGGGGAAGAATCCGTGTAACTTTAGCTATGGAAAACATGCCATAGAAAGACTGCGGAAAATGAAAAGAATTTGAAAAGGGTTTGAGCTTTTCCCTGATCCCTCCTGTAGAATTCTTTGTTTTCTTACATCTACTACCTCAGTCAATTTATCTAAATCAAGAAGCATTTTTTTTTTTTTTAAACACGAAGCAGCAGCACAGTGTAGACAATGTAAAGAACACAGGAGCTGGATTGGATAGATATGTATTCAAAGCCTGACTCTGTCACTGCACCACCTCTGAACATCAGTTTCTCATCAATGAAATATTGGCATAGTAAAAGCCATGTCATATTGATATGAGGATTAAATGAAATTGTTATCGCTTTTGACAGGTGACAAGTCCTTGCTTCCCCAGTGTTGAAGAATAACACCAGAGAAGCACGCCGAGGCAAGATCAGAGTGGAAAATTAGAAGTTTATTAAAGGACAGCAGAAAAGACTTCTCCCAGATGAAGAAGGGGACCCAAGAGATGGAATCTGTTGAAGGGCGAATGTGTTCCCCTTTTTATAGTTTTCGGTGATGGAATGTAGGTGGGAAGGCCCGAGGGGTGGGACACAGGTGGGCCAAAGAAGTAATCTAGGCAGGAAGGACTTCTGAGGCAGCATCTTCAAGTTTGCTGTTCATTAACACTTCTTTGAGATGGGCTATTTTCAAATCTGCTGGGGCTGTTCATTAAAACTTCTTTGGGATGGGCTATCTTTAAATTTTCTGGGGGCTGTTTCCTGGACTTCATTAACATTTCAAGAGTTGCTCAACTTTTCCGGGGAATTCATTCTCATGGCCTCCATTTTAGATCTCACTCGATATTAGACCCAATTTACCTAACTACACTGACTACCTAATTTTAAATCTGGCTTCAAAATGATGCCTGGGGAAGTCCTGGCACTTAACAGGTGATGATCTGAGGTCATTGTGATTTCTCTGCTCTATTGTAAGTTTGATCAGGTGTAACTATTGCTGCTGTACCATTATTTGACCCATCAGTGAATATATTTGGAACATTCATGGTAGGTGTTTTTCTTGTCATTTTTGGAAAAATTACAGGATGCGATGACCAAAAAGACAATAAAGGATTAGATGGTAAGTGGTTATCAAATGAAACATTAGATTTGCACATGATTATTGCCCAAGTATTTAACTCATTAGCTAACTCATCAATTTGATTCATAGTATATGGAGTAATAATTTTATTGGGAGAAATTCCAAACACTCCCTTTGCTGCTTTTATTCCTTTGAGTATTAATTGTCCTACAGACTCAGGATACCTAGTAAGAATAGTGTTAGGAGAACAAGATAAATGTATCCATAATAATGGACCTTCTTGCCAAAATATTCCTGTAGGAATATTTTTTGTTGGTAGTACAATAAATAATAAAGGCAAACTTATATCAATTCTATCCAAATGCATATTTTCCATATATGTTTCAATGATTTTTAATGCCTTTCTTGCTTCAGGCGTTAACATTCGGGTGAATTTGGATCTGATGGACCTTTTAGGATATCAAATAAAGGTCCCAACTCTCCTGTTGGTATGCCTAGATAAGGCCTTATCCAATTTATGTCTCCTAATAACTTGTGAAAGTCGTTAAGTGATTTGAGTTGATCTACTCGTATTTGAATTTTTGGTGGACGGACCATGGTTGAGGATAATAGTACAACCACTGGAGAAGAGGAAAGAGGGAGCCAGGTATGAGGTACAGAGTAGGAACTCAAATATTTATAAGAGCCAGGATGGTGGTGCACCTGTAATCCTAGTCACTGGGAGGTGCAGGCAGGAGGATCAAAATTTGAGGCTAGCATCAGCAAGCAGTAAAACATCCAGGTAATCGATGCCTCCCCCCCACCCCTGTTTTGGTACAGAGGATTGAACATAGAGGTGCTTTATAACTGAATTGCATTCCAGGCTTTCTTAATTTTCATTTTGAGACAGGGTTTTGCTAAATTGTTGAGGCTGGCCTGGAACTTGTGATCTTCCTGCCTCAGTCTCCCCAGTCGCTATTATTACCAATAGGTGCCACTCTACCCAGTGAAGCCAGAATTACACAGGCAGTCAGTATAGATAGGTAAATCAAGTCAGGTTGGATCAAGGAGGCCAATTTTGAGGGAATGGGGCTAGTTGGAGACTGTCCCTGGAGGGATTGAAATGTTCATTCCTTCAGAGCCCTTCCTCCACCCTTATCCAGAACCGGCCCCTGCTCCAACCTGTTGCCAAGGTAATCTGCCCCAGGAATTGCCCCTCCCTACAGGGAGCTATAAGGTTGTTAATTAATGTGTCCTGGACTGCTCTATCCTGCCCTTCCCCCTTCAGCCCACCTGTTTCCCACCTTTTGGCCAACCCAGCAAGCATCCCTGGGCCCAGTCAGGAATGCAGGAAGGAGAAAGATAAGGGGAAGAGGGCAGGAGAACAAAGGAAGCCTAGGACATATAAAAAGGGCAGGACACATCACTTCTGGGGATACCAGGATACCAGCTATTGCCCCCTTCTATGTTACCCCTTTTAGAATAATCCCTGCTTTATATGCTTGCCTCAGTGTGCTTCTCTAATGTTCACACTTCAATATATGAGGAAGCAGGACTCCTCACCGATAACTGGTGGTATCACCAGCAAGTCCACAAAATTTTATCTAAAATCCTTGGGTATAGATATGTTCAGAATTCAGAAATTGTTGGATTTTAGAAAGAGATATGGTTAATGTACCATATATTATATAATATCAGCAGGGGCAGTGGTAACACTATGTAATCAAATGCATTAATATTTATGGATTGAAATACATGAATATTTATACATAGTAAGAAATAGAGTATAAATAGCTCCATATTTAGTTCAGGTCAAGTCAGGCTTTGCTGCCAAATAAGTTACAAAGCACCTTTATTTTTCAAAGCCTTTTTGGATTTTAGAATTGCAGCTAAGAATTGCAGGCCTGTGGTAGGTTATAGAGACAAGTGAGAATCAGATAGACTCCAGAGAAGAGCTTCTGCTTGCTATATTAGTTTCCTGTTGCTTCCTGAACTAGTTACCATAAATTTAGCAGTTTAAGGAATTCAAATTTCATCTTATGGTTCTGGGAATAAGAAATCCAAAATGAGTCCCACTGAGCTAAAATCAAGATGTCAGTAGGTCTGCATTCCCTCTGGAGACTGAGAGAATTCATTTTCTTTCTACAGGAAGCAGTCTGCATTCCTTGGCTTGGGCCCCTTTTTCCATCTTTAAAGCCAGCAGTGAAAGACTAAGTCCTTCTTAGTCACTCTGACTTCCCTTCCAACACCATCTTCCATATTTAAAGGGCCCTTGTAAGTACATTGGATCCACTGAGATCATGCAAGATGTATTGTTATGCTCGAATTCGGGACCCCCAAAAGACCACCAGAGACCAAGATTGATGTAAGCAGCAAAGAGGTGTTTATTGCAAGGTAGCTCGGTCCTCCACGCGTGCACACACACAGCAACTGGTGACACTCAGAGGTCCCCAGCCCAGGGTTTGCAGCAGTTTTATACATTCTTTGGAGAAGGCAGGGACTTCACATACATCATAGCATCTCTTACCAAATCATCACACACTGTGGAAAAATCATAAAACAACTCTATAACATGATTAGCACATTCACTGGTGGGAACAAGTTGGGTAGGGGTGATTGGTTACTACAAGAGGGGGATTCATTTGAACTGATTGGTTTAAGCCAAGAGAGGTGTACATGCTGAACTACAGGGTTTCCCAACTTGTTATCAACCACCATAAACTACTGGGAGGGTCATCTGGCATCCCAGGTATTTCTGTCTCATGCTGACTGGTGGCTGCTAGGGGATTGCTATGGGTCCCCACCTAGCCTGACTGAGTCAGGGACACCTGGTGCAGCAGCAGATCTCTTCTGTTATTTGTAGATAAACCACTTAGCAGGGTGGGAATGTGCCTAGGAGTGCTCTGTGGGTCTTTCCAAGGACAGAGGTCATGTCCCTTCCTTGGACAGGCTTTGCTCTGAGGTAGAGGCTGGTTTTTCAATATTAGTCAGAATTCTACAGAAAAACAGACTCTATATGTGGGAGAGGGGAGAGTGATTTAAAGAATTGTCTTAAATGATAATTGAAAGCACATGAAAGAGAGTAGAAAAGAAAATGGAGGCAGACATCAACGGACCAGTGATACTTTCTTTCTTTTTTTTGTTTTTGTTTTTGTGGTGCTGAGGATTGAACCCAGCCAGGGCCTTGTGCATGCAAGGCAAGCACTCTACCAACTGAGCTATATCCCCAGCCCCAGTGATGCTTTCTTAAGCAATGGAAGGGCACATTGTCGAAGGGAAAATGGCAGCAGCTGCAACAAGGGTCTGGGTTTTATAGGGTTTAGCAGGACCAGGTCTTGGAAGAAGTTTTGGTGGTGGGCTCATTTAGGGTGGGTCAGGAGGGCCAGTAGGGAACAGTAAGAGAAGTTCCCTGGGGCCTGTTGTCCATATCCCTCAATAATGGAAGCTGTGAACTCCAAAATCTGAAGGATAGGCCAGCAGGATGAAGACCCAAGGAAGAGTTGATGTTGCAGTTCAAGTCCAAATTCATCCTGCTAGAAATTCCTTCTTCCTTAGGCCTTCAACTGGTTGGATGAGGCCTATCAAGATTATGGAGGACAAGCTACTTTACTCAAAGTCAACCAATTTAAATGTTAATCTCATTTAAAAACGCTCTTATAGAAACACCCAGAAAATGTTTTTTTTTTTTTCCAAATACATGGGTACCATGATTCATCAATGTTGATACATAAACCACTAATGGTTAATTAAAATGAATTTCTCTATCTTAAGTTCAGTGAATTAGCCTCATTTCCATCTATAATAATATATTTTCCTCACTCTATAATCAAATAGGATGTGAACATCTTTGGAGGCTATTACTCTGCTTCCCACAGTGAGGTTACACAAATTGTATACAGCAACATTCCCAGGGGGGCACCATTTACACAGATTACAATTTGAATAGTATTCCCTGAAGTGGTATAATTTAAGGGTCTTGTTCCAGAACCCACTGGCCTAAAGACAGTCATTGCACAGACCTTTTGCAGACAGTGTAGTCAAAGTTTTTTGAAGTTCAGCTTCCAGAAAACAGGGTGTTGATGGCTTCTATGTAAATAAGTAGTTCCACAAGAGACAAGGGGCAGCTAATGTCCAAAGGGAGTTCCCCTGTTGGAGCATGGGGCAGAGTCATCAGGTTTACAATCGCAAGTTTTTATCAGGACCTCACCAACAAGGTTTCTAGTAGACTTTCCTAACTCAAGCAGGATTGACTCTTCCAGATAACTCTGAGTGTTTTTGAGGAAATGGGAAAGCTGAATTCCAGATAGGAAGTGTTGGGTGCAGAGCAGGCTGAACAGATGTTGGCTGCAAGATAGCCCACGCACTCAAACCCCCCTCTATCTGGTCCTTTATCACCTGTTTGCCTCAAGTCTGAACATTCAACCCTGCTCAAGGCTGAACACTTAACCCCCCCTTGGGCTAACAAGGCAGCTTGCAGACCCAGAGGCCCCATTAGATTTGGGCTATAAAAACTCCCTCCTGCCAGGCCCCCCTCTCTCTTGCTCTCTCTCTCTTGCTCTCTTTGTCTTTCTTGCGTGAGATCTCTGTCTCTCTCTTGCTCTTGCTCTCTCCCTCTTCATCTCTCCTCTTCCCTTCTCTCTCTCTCTCTCTCTCTCTCTCTCTCCTTCTTTCCTTCTTCCCTTTCTCTTTGTTGCACTGCTGCAATAAAGATCTTTTGTTTGCTCTGAGTGTTGTGGTCACTTTTCTTTCAGGAAGCTTGGTGTGGAGTTTCAAAGAAACAGTTTCCAGGCCAATCTCTGAGGCAGGGAATCCTGGGTCTGGTCCTGGCTGCGTAGGTGAGGAATATGATCACAATAATGATGGAACCAACTGATGGCATCTTTCTGCAGAAAAACATTTTCCAGGAAAGCTAAGAAATTTCTATCATCTCATATTTTCATTGGGATTTCCACAGATACCAGAACAATCAGATACTTTCTAAATACTCAAATCAGCATAGATGCACCCGTACCACAATTTGTTTTATCCCCCTGTCCCTAAACAAAGCTAAGAAAACAGACAAAGCTCTATTTCTTGACCCTTCCAGGTCCTACAGTAAATTGCCACACTCCAGATGTTTCATGGATGTGCAGAGAGTCATTACCAGAGATGGTTAAGTAAATTGGTAAAAATTCTGCTGTCAGTGTATAATGACTATTTAGTTCTTTGTAATGTCCTCTGTGACTTTGTTGCTGGCCTCCTGTTGTTCAGGGCAGGGGCAATACCTCTGGTGTCCATGCTGATTGGCTTTTATTAGGAGTTAGGAAGTTTGATCTAGATTAAAACAGTGCTGGTGAACATGAGAAAAGGTCAGCAGGTTAGGTGAGTAAATTGCCACCAAATGGAGGATGTGACCTCAATTTTTCTGTTAGCAGGGAGAACCCAGAGTTGAAAAGTTCTTGAGAACACAGTGATTGTTCAAAACATAGGAATAAAAAAGCAAATATTCGACAGACTTTGAAGACCCATTGGGTTGTTTGTTAATGGAGCACAAGTCCTGTTAAGACTCTGAATGGACTCCAAAGACTGGGCATGTTCTATTCTTCCACATTATAATATTATGCTGAGCTTAATTTAATACATTTCAGCTTAATGTGAAATACATTTTAGAGTGTAGTGAGCACAATCTGGCTAAATTTTATAAAGATTTGAAGCAAAAGTAAAAACAATACTTTGCTCAAAGTTCAGAGAAGTCTTTGTTGTTGAAAAACCAACACAGAAAAGAATTTATTATGTTTATAAAACCCATTTAAGGGGCTGGGTTTGTGGCTCAGTGGTTGAGCACTCACCTAGCATGTGTGGGGCCCTGGGTTCCATCCTCAGCACCACATAAAAATAAATTAATAAATAAAATAAAAGATTCATTTACAACTAAAAAGAGTTAATAAATAAATAGATAAAACCCATTTAAGGGGCTGGGGTTGTGGCTCAGTGGTAGAGTACTTGCCTAGCACGTGTGAGGCCCTGGGTTTGATTCTCAGCACCATATATAAATGAATAAATAAAATAATGGTCCATCAACAACTAAACAAATGTATTTTATAAAAAAAAAAAACATTTAATATTTTAAGTTGTCCAGGTGTCTTTTCAGTTGTTGGGTAACCATAGCCTAAGATTGGGGTCCATAAACTTTTTCTGTAAAGGGCCAAATAGTAAATATTTAGGGCTTCGTAGGTCAGGTAGTCTCTATTTTAACTACTCAATTCTACTATTTAGCATAAGAGCAGCAATAGACATTGTTTAAATAAATTGACATTGCTATATTTCAATAAACTTAATAGATAAAAACAACTGGAAGGCCAGATTTGGCCTATGGTCCATCCTTAATTTGTTGACCCCTCACCTAAGAGACAAGAAAAAATTCAACTGACCATTTCAATTTTGATAATAAGCTGTAAATATTAGAGAGATGAAGAAGGTCAGTCATCCAATCTGATAAGATGGGAACTCAGCTGCCCAAACCATTGTCCCCTCTGTTTTCAACCATCCTAGTGTTCTTAAGGTCTTTATTTTGTTTCCCTGCTTTTCTCCACTTTACTAGCATGCCATAGGAATGATTATGAGAAAGAAATAAAGTTGTTTGGTGGGGGCATAAATTAGGGTGCCTGGGATGCTTGCAGATAGTTTGATTTGGCACAACTTACCTTATGAACATTGGTGTGAATCATTCCAAGGTTTGATTTTCATCATCTACCAAAGAACAGCATGTTACCTAACTGAGACAAAATGGATAGATGTTCCCTCAACCACCATTGGGCACAGAGGACAGACACTAGCATATACTGAGTGTGGGAAGCCGTTCTCGCACGTGATTGGGCACCTCCCTGACTGGGTGTGAGGCGTTCTGGCCAAGCTGTGTCAGAACTAATCCCCATCCTTTCTAGGTGCGAGAGCCCATCCGTGTGGGGGTGTGACTGACCATTGACCCTGAGACCAATCACTGACCCTGACCTTGGAATGCTGTCCCCCTCGACCTTCACTGGATGGAATTTTCCCCTGAATTTCTTGTTCCCCAATAAAAGGCCATCCTCTGGCGTGCTCTCTCTCTCTCCTGCTAGTCTTATGTAAACCTCGCTGCCCCACCGGGTGGCTCGAGGCAGGAGCCAGAGGGGGAGCCGTCTCAGACCTGGTCAAAGAAAAAGGTAAATTGAGTTTATGTGTGTTTATTTTGATCTCACTAGTTAACTTCTATGCTTAGAACCTCTAGTATGAAGCTAGCGTGCTGGTCGCACAGTTGAACTGAGTTCTTTTCTCTTTCTGCTATAAAGTCTAATTGTGGTGACTGTGTCCTTACTTAGGAAAATGCTCTTCTCTCTCAAGATCTCTCATTTTGAAGTCATTTTAGTGGCAAGGGCCAGAATTTAATCTTAAATGTCAAGTATACTTACAAATGTCAATTGCACATATAAATGTCAAGTGAACTATGTAGTTCCTCATATCCTCTCCTACCAAAGTGTAGAAGGCCCCATTCGGAAGACCCATGACTCAAGAATTCCGATTCTTAATGGAGTTTGTTCTTGTGCTGGAGGCAGAGTTATCTAGTTAGCTATTATATTCACTCTGCAGGTTCACGATGAAATTGGAACTGTTTTCAGAGTTGGAGTCAATGAACCACATACTTGTTTATAAGAAGTTACATAGATAGTGCAAGCCCTCTTGGCGAATTCTTTGAAAGAAAATAGGATCAACAGGAAAAATAATTTCAGAGGAAATTGCTTGCGTGTCCATTGGGCAGTATTTTGAAATGACCTTTGAATTACCTACTCACTCATGTGACTGGAGCACCTTTGCCTTGTCATCAGTAAATCCTTCCTGCTTGTCCAAGGGAAGGCATGTCCCCGATTTATATTTTCACGATTTGTGTTTTTCTGGAAATGGATTCTTTTTTTCCAAACTCATTTTTTATGGGTTCTTAATAAACATGCAGGGGTTCTGTAATATGTTCCAAGTTTCCTGCACGTGCTTGCATTTTTTCTTTTCTCCATTTAGTAAACATTTATAGAGAGTCCTGTGGTTGGTGTTGGATATATAAACAGCAGCGAACTCAGAGAGCTTGCATTCCAGTGAAGGAGGCAGATCTTAAATAATTGATCACCTTAGTAAATAAATAATTACAAACCATGGTAAATGCTGTGAAGGAAAAGTACATCGTGCTCTCAGAGTTTGCAGTAGGCAGAAATGACCTGGTGTGGGAGGGGGAAGACATTTCTGAGGAAGTGATTGTTTGGGCTAAGACTAGAAAAATGAGTAGAGGTTCACTAGACAAAGAGTGAGAGTCAGAAGGTGCTAGGGCGAGAAAAGTCTAGATTCAAAGATGGAAAAGTAAAAATAGACCTGGGGAGTGAGCAAGAGAGAGAGAGACTCATTTACTCATCAAATAATTGGGGAGACTTCTGTGTAAAAGGTACTCCTCTACATACCAGGGATATAATAATGAAAAAAAAAATTCCCTGTCCTCATGGAGCTTATTTTCCACTTGGTGAGAGAGACTATAAATGCATAAGCAGATATTAATTTGATTTCTTACCATAATAAGTGCTCTGAAGAGAATGAGCCTGGGTGGTCTGTGAGGACCTGTCTCGGGAGATGCCATATGAATAAATATTGAGTGATGTGAAGGAACCAGTCAGGTACAGACCTGTGGGAGAAGAATCTAGACAATGAGATCAGCCTGTAAGAACATGCCTAGTGTGTTTGTTAGATTGTATTTTATTTCATGTTTCTAAACAAACTCAAAAGGCATATATTAGATAACTTGTGCTAAATTCATGGTGTATATATGTCAGGGCAGGATGGAAACTCAAGTATATCTCTGCCTTCCCTCTCCCCACTAGACAATAGTGCCTCATTAGAAAGTATTAAACCATGTCCACAAGAACAAGTTGTTAAATCATTTTAGTCAAAATGTCAAATCTGAGAGTGGACATAATCCTTAGTATGTGGCCTGGATAGACCCCAAGCTAACGCTGGTAAAGCCCTTCTAAGCTTGTTCTACTTGAGAAGACTCCTTTGGAACCTGATATGAAGAGGACCCCTGAATAGCATATAGTCTGTTGGTATGTTTAGAAATCATTGGGTAACACAGAGAAAATTCCAGACTAATAAGAGACTTGGGTTCTGTGTTCTTCCTTCCATTCAATTAGTTATACAAACTTAGGCAAGTTACAACCTCTTTCAGTTACAGTTTCTTCATCTGTAAAATGAGAATGTTAACATGATCTTTCTTGTCTACCTCTCAAGAGCTTTTACTGTCCAATTAAAATGTTGTCTCTACCTTCAAAATATGCCCTGAATCCAGCTATTTCTCACCGTCTTCTCTACTACTACTATGGTTCAGCCATCAACCTTTCTTTACTGAATTATTGCAACAGCAGCCCAACTGATCTCTGTGTTCTACCTTTGCCGTGCCACCCCCAAGCTCTATTTTGAATGGAGCAACCACAGTGATCTACTAAAAGTCAGATCTTAGTGGAACTTACTGATCTGTTTCAGGTCTTTCAATGGTTCATTTATGCATTTGAAATTAAAGCCAGAGTCCCAATATTGCCTACAAGTCTCCCTGTGATGTGACTGCCACATTACCCCTCTGACCTCATTTTCTCCAATGCCTTTCATTCACTCTGCTCCAGCCTCACGAATTTCCTTGGTATTCCTCAAGCGCACTCTGCACCATCTCACCTTAGAGACTCTGCTTTCTTGCCTCTGCAGGGAATACCTGTCATGTACAGATCAACATGGCTAACACCCAGACTTCCTTCAAGTCTCTGCTTAAATGTGACCTCAATGAAGTGTATGGTGGCCATTATATTTAAAATGGCATTCTATTTAGAATTGAAAGGTGAGTGACTCACCCGAGACAGAGATTTAACCAACAGATTTTATTGGAGGCAGGGCTGCCCTAAGGAGAGGCAGAGAGCAGAGAGAAGAGGAGGAGAGCAGAAAGAGGAGAGAAAGAAGAGGAAGAGGGGAAGAGGGCAGAGAGTGTGAGCTTGCAAGCTTGGGCTTAAGAAGGGTTGCGTAGGGGACATGGCAGGTGCTGTTTCGCAGGGTGACTCAGGAACAGCAAGCGGTCACTTTGTCCACTGGGGATTGGTGGAGGAAACCTTTGAATTTGGCACTCTTGCTCTTCGGCGTGGCGCCCTTCGGAGAGGAGGGGGAGGGGTAAGGGATTCCATGATGTTCTCCAAGAAGGGGGAGTCTCCCACAACCCAACACTCCTCCCTTTTGTTTTTGTGTTGGGAGCAGGGTGACGAGATCCTCTGGCTTTTTCCTGCTGGAGGGGGACGACAAGTGTGAAGGAAGGGAGGGATGGTCAGGGTGCGGGGACAAGAGAAGCATAGCTGTGAAGGCCAGGGCGCTGAAGATGTGAATTTCCTCGGGGCTGAAATCGATGGAAGTTCCTGGAAGCCATAGGTCATGGATAGTCTCCATCCAGTCCTTGTCCCTGCAGATGGGGGAGTCAGCCAGCTGTCCTGTCGGAGGGCCTCCATGAACTCCATGAACCAGCTGTGCTCCATGTGAGCCTAAGAACACCAAAGGTACCCGAGGCAAGGAGAAGAGGGAGGAGGAGACGCCACATTAGCTTCTGGCTGGAGGTCCAGTGAGAGGGACTGGCTGAGAAAAGACCAGCGGCCAGGAGGAGGCACACGAGAGCGAATGGGCCTAGAAACCCTGGGTGACAGGCTAGTGACGTTCCCAGTCGTGTTTCCGCCGTCGGTGAGGCCTTCACTGTCCTCCGAGGGAGCAAGTAGCTGGAAATCCCTGAGGAGAGGCTGGCTAAAGGTCTGGTTAGACATGTTGCCTGCGCGGTTCTGCAGGAGCTTATGATGCGTGGGAGAAAGGCCCCAAACAAGAAATCCCAGGGAGAGGGCCATCTGGGGTGTCTGAGGAAGCAGACGGAGTAGGAGTGAGGAGGTGGGTGCCAGGAGGGTGGCGAGGAGCAGGGGGGAACGAGAATGAGGCCTGCTGTTGTGAGGGTTTCTCGGGTTGAGGAAGGTCCTCCTCGGGAAGGGGAAGGAACCCTCAGGCGTGAGAGGTGGAGAGTGCGGGGAGGGGTTTGGGGGAACATATGGTGGAATCCATGAATGAGGTGGCAGAAAGAGAGGAGGGTTTATAAACCAAAAGGTCATGCTTTGGGTTGCAAGAGGTACAGAGAGACGGATTTGAGCGAAGGAGGAAGAAAGCCTGAATGTATAAAATCTCTGCCTGTTGTAGGGACAAACGAGGCAAAGCACCAAAGATAGTAGGAAACACTTTTATGTGGCTGCAGCCAGGTTCAGAGGGCACAGCTTTTGCTGTAATCAATCAATCCCCTGAATCCCGAGTTCAGGGAGTTTCAGAGTTTTATACTCAGCATGTAAGGGGGGGTGGGGAGGGCTCAGAATTTCACAGTCTGCAGAAGTTCACATAAAAGCAGCTTTTTCTTTCACTGTTCTGGGCAAGTTAACCCTTCAAGGACAACACCTGAGAAGGGGAGAGCTTCTTCTCCCCTTTCTTTCCTCCCCCTGCCAGCTGTTACCATGGAGCCCATTTGTAACTTATCTTAAAAATGTAGACATCTCTGTGAAGCCCAGCTCAAGGCCAGAGGCCTTGTTTGCACATTTCTTCAAAGTACTATACTGGATACATTTGTGAAAAACTAGTAAGGGGGTTCCAGCACCTGGAGTGTTGGTGTCTTCTCTGCCAGTGGCCAAGTAAACAGGGAGACACGAAAATAGGAAGTTTATCTACATTGGACTCTTTTGCAGAGACTCCTTTGCTGACAGTTCTAAAATCAGTCTGGGTAAAGATTTCTGGAGAGGCCCTTTCAGTGGAGAAAGGGGTGCCACTTCATGCCCATTTTTTCGATGGCACACAATAATTGTAGAGATCCCACAAAATGGCGGGGTCTAAGGACCCATATAGGGGGCCGATGGTTTTGGTCAATCTTGGGATTGATCTCCGTGGGGTTAGGCTGAGGGTGTCCAGATTGCGGAGGAGGCATTTGAGAGGGGAGTGGGCCGGCAGGGAGGAGGCCCCGCTTGCTCATGGGGCTCTGAGGAAGGGTGTGATATGTTGACTGGAGGGGCATCCCACTCGAGCCAAATATCAGAAGGAGACCTCAGGCCGAGGATATGGTCGTCACCGAAATCCTATGGTGAGGGGCCCTCCCAGAGGGCCCTGGGAGCTCTGGGTCACCGGGTGCCAGGGTTTTGGACCCAGAGAAGGAAAGAGGAGACCCACGCTCGAGGAGGGGAGGGGGTTTGCCACTTCTCAAGCCAGCTGAGGCTTGTTGGAAGGGGAAGACTCCAAGAGGAACACCGTGACTGTGAAGGGGTGTATTCTCCCCCCACACACACCAGACACCACAGGGGGCTGCGGATTATCAATGGCCAGTTCCCTGTTACTGCGCTTCTGCGGGTTTAGGAATCCAGAGGGGGGACTCACCAATTCACAGGCGGATGGTGGATGTGAAGCAGGCAATTGAGAAGATGGGCACAGGTTGGTCTCTGCTCAGTTGGTGATCTCAGGTGGTGATCTCCAGCGGGATGGGAGTCCTGCTTAAAAGCAGGGGAGTCTCATCTGGGTCAGAGCACCAATGAAAGGTGAGTGACTCACCCAAGACAGAGATTCAACCAAGAGATTTTATTGGGGGGCTGCCTGAAGGAGAGGCAGAGAGCAGAGAGAGAAGAGGAGGAGGGCAGAAAGAGAGAAAGGGTAGAGAGAGGAGAGAAAGAAGAGGAGGAGGACAGAGAGAGAGAAAAGAGAGAAGAGACCTTGTGCTTATAAGCTTTGGCTCAAAAAGGGTTGCATAGGGGATGTGGCAGGTGCTGATTGGCAAGATGACTCTGGAACAGTGAGCAGACACTGTGTCCTGTGGGGATTGGTCGAGGAAACCTTTGAATTTGATGCTCTTGGCTTGGCACCCTTTGGAGAGGAGGGGGAGGGGTAAGGGATCCATGATGTTCTCCGAGAAGGGGGAGTCTCCCACACACCCAACAAAAATGGCCCTTCCCCACATTTTAGACCCCCTTACCATGATGCACTTTTTTCTTTTCTGTTCCATAGCATTATTGAACATAATGCATAGTTTACTTATTTATAGGGTAAACATAAATGTTTTGCCTCAACTGGGACTTTTTCAGAGAGGTTTCATTAAATTGCTTAGGCTTCACTAAGTTGCTGAGGCTGGCCTCAAACTTGTGATCCTCTTGCTTCAGCCTTCTGACTACAGGTATATGCCACTGCACCCAGCCCTCAACTGGGACATTTTTGAGAGTGAGAGTGTGTGCTATTAAATTATACCACGACAGTAAGTATAAACTGGGACTTTGTAATTCATGATATTTAAAAGAAAAAAGAACATGTCTTCCCTTGCTGGGTTTCACAGAGATAGGAATCTTTGAATGCTTTGCCATTTACTTATCTCATGAGCTAATGACAGTGCCTGACATATAGTAGATTATCAATAAATATTTTTTTGAGTAAGCAAATGGATTATAGGTAAGAAAGATGTTCATGAGATATAAAGTAGTGTAGATCTTAGTTAATTTATTAATTTTAGTTAATAATTATTCATTTTTCTCAGCCTATCTAAATGTGTTTATTGATATACATGATATGAAAATATCTATATATTCCTATCCATGTGTAAAATATTTAATATAAGCAAATTCTCCCAACTTTATACTTTTTATTCCCTAGGATAAAAGGGAAGATTGCTCTATAATTTATATATACTTTAAAATACTAAAGACTAATTTGAAAGATGAATATCATGTAGGGAAAATTATTTCAAGACAGTTGAAAGGGGACATTTATTAAAAATAGACCTTCTTCTCCTCCAGAGCACACATCTTTCTCCTGAGGGCTTTACTGAGAGTCACTTCAAGGAGTTGTTGGTGTAACTTGACTGAAAATTAATATAGTGCATGTATAAGGCTGAGGAGCAGAACCAAGGCAACCTCCTGTCCTATGAGAAAGAAGGCTCTGGAGGCCGAGGCAGGGGGATCGAGAGTTCAAAGCCAGCCTCAGCAACTTAGCAAGGCCCTAAGCAACTGAGGAAGACCCTGTCTCTAAATAAAATACAAAATAGGGCTGGGGATGTGGCTCAGTGGTTAAGATGCCCTGGGTTCAATCCCTGGTACCAAATAGGAATAATAAATAACAACACTAATAATAATAGTCTACCTTCTCTTTTATTTTTTTAAACTATGTGTTAACTGAGGAATGGATAGGAGGCATAGATGAAATAGAGTGAAGGATGGGCAACACGGACCAGGTGATGGTGTGGTAAGGGGACGCTCAGTTGGAAGAGTTAAATTAATGATTAAAATATGACTTAAACTTTGTTGGGCTATGCAAAGTACTTGACAAAAGTTGGAAATAGCCATTCCTGTATTTTTACAATGACAGGCACTACTCTATTTGCTCTATATATTGACCTTTTCTTAAATAAATTGCTGGCAGAATCCAAAATACAATGTACTCTTTTTCAAAATTAATGAATGAATTGAATCCAAATGTAATATAGTGTGAATTCTACTTTGCTTATTCTATAGTCTTGAAAATTCTTAAATAAAGAGTGTGCACTTTTTTTTTTTACAAAGTCAAAGCAAAATCATGCTTCCTTTTTAGTTGATATCAATGAGGAGGATTAAATAAGAGTCTTTGCTTTTATCTGAATTTTAGAACAATAAAGCCTCACTGGCCTTGATTTTGTGAGCCTCCATCTTCCTCTGCACTTTGGTCAATAAAGGTTTGGTTGAGAAGGTTTTTCCTACATCCCATCACCACAGCATCTGAAATACCTTTTCTATTCCTTGTGTTTGCTCATATTCCAAGGATGTGTCATAGACAGAAAAGCTCATTGGGTTTAGATGGATCACAAGAAAAGAAAACACTTAATCTCTTCAGGCATTTAATGAATCATAGGAGAGATTGATAGGCAAAGAGTTAAAACCTTTTCAATTCTAGTAATATAACAGAAAGGAAAGAGAACAGCTACTTTCCACCTTTTTAGACCAGGGCTTGACTGCTTTTCAAAGATTTTTAGCTTTCCTCTTCAAATTCATGTTTACCTTTTGTGGCTTTTATCACTCAGGCCTGCAAAGTTGACTATCTAGTTCAAATATCAAAAGGTGCTGAACTAAAGAAAAAACAAAACAACAATAACAACAAAAAAATCCTGAGTAGAGTTAGACATGTAGTTGGGAATCAATATGTATTAATTTACTGAGAGATGGTTGATAAGTTCTGTAAGCATATTCAACTGCTAATTCACCTCTATTGTCTGATGTCAGGCACCCTTCTAAGATGTAAACAGCTAAAGAGGAAATATAGATGTGTGAAGTTCACAGCCACAGTTTCACATATGCAAAAACATATCTTTGTTTTTCTGTCAGTGGATTCATTTTCTTTTCAAATGCTTAGTCTACCTTATAGCAATGCAAAATAACAACCACCACAACAATCAAAATGGTAATAAAAACCTTAGTTTAGCTGCTTCCAAGTAAACTTCAATTCAAATCTGTGATGTTTTAGACAATACCAGTTAACCAGTTAAGTTCCATCATCCCAGATGTGGAACGTGTATAAAAAAAAAAAAGAGCAACAAATATACTACTCATGGTAAATTTTGAAATAAATATTATGTTTTTAGAGTTCTATGGTTTTGAGAAAAGTAGTAGGTGATTATTAGACCATTTAAAAATATATATTTGCAAATTATGTGAAAATCTATACAAAGCCTATATAAGCTCTAGACTATGACTTCCAACCTATTTTCTTTGAAATATTCACAGAATTTAAACTTGGGGCTTAATGGGTTAATAATTTATCCACATTCAGTTTAAAAACATTGTTATGGTTTGGATATGAGGTGTCTCCCAAAGCTCCTGTGTCAATGCAGGCATGTTCAGAAGTAAAGAGATTGGACTGTGAGAGCTATAACCTAGTCAGTTCATCCTGGCTTGAATGAACTAACTGGGTGATAACTGTAGGGAGATGGGGCGTGGCTAGAGGAGGTGTATCACTGGGGACATGTCCTGGAAGGGTGCAGCTTCCCTGCAACCCCTTCCTCTTCCAAACTCTCTACTTCCTGGTTGCCATGAGCTGAGCATCTTTCTTCCATGGTACCCTTTGGCCATGATGCTCTGCCTCATCTTGGGCTCAGAGAAATGGAACCAACCAATCATAAACTGAACCTCTGAAACTATGAGCTAAAATAAGCTTTTCCTTCTCTAAATTGTTCTTGTCCAATATTTTGGTCATAGCAATATAGAGCTGACTAATACAAACATTGTCACGTTCTCTCTCTCTCCTCTATCTCTTTGCAGTTCTTTTAAGTGATAATGTTGAGACTTGCTCATGCAGCTGTTATATGGTATTTTTGAGAGGACAGTTTCCAAATCTCTTTTCCTGTTTCTCATCTGTCTTGTTTCTCCTATTTCTTGATCTTCTCTGATGAATCCATTAAGAAGGCCTTTTAAAAATGTTATTAGTGCCATATAACAGTGGGGTTCATTTTGACATATTCATAAATACATATAATATAATTTGATCCATTTTAATTCCCCTTCTCCCTCCCCTTCTCTAGCCTCCCCCTGATTCCCTATTGGGAAGGCTTTTGCCTGAAGGTAACAGCTAACAGTGCCTTAAAACACAAGAATATTTATTATTTAGTAATAAGAAAATCGCGACACAGGTGGCCTTGAGGTTGGTTTGGCAGTTCAATGGCCCAGACATTTCACTATCTTTCTGTTCTACCATCCTCTGCATGTAGGTTTTTCAATTTTGTGCTGCTTGTCTCATAGTCACAAAATGGCTACATATGGCTTGCACAATATAATCTCTCCAAGGCAGAAATAAGAAGGAAGAAACCCCATCAATAGCTCTCCTCTTGTATACACTTTTTTTGTAAGGGAATCAAGAGGACCTCAAAAACTTTCAGGTAGGTCTTCTTGGACTGTGCTGAGTCACAGGCCACCGGTTTTTGTGAATGAGTTGGGGAATGCAATGTTTTGGGTTGTATTGGGAGACAGACAAGTATATAGAGTTGAGAATGGTGTCTCAAGTGGCCAGTCTTCAGTTTCTGCTCTGATTACTCTGGTTCTTGATACATGAAATGCACAGTACTCTCTGAATCTGTGGCCAAATGCTCTGTGGGAGAATGATTTGGCTTTATTGCTGTGAATTTTTTGATATTGGAGGGAACCCTCTGAGCAGAGAAAATACTATTTGAAGTTACATAATTTTAAATTAATTTATCAAAACTGCAAACTAAAAAGTGGTTTTATACTGGCCTTTAAATTCAATTTAATAATCAGTTTGTTCCATAAATCTAGCATATTTTGTCAATCACTTGCAAGGCAGCCTTTGATTAATGTTAGATCAAATCAAGCTGAACAGACTAAATTCTGCTTAATTAAATGAATTCCTATTTGTAAACTTAGATTCTTCAATTCTCTTCAGCATTTCAAAGTACATTTTTAAGTCTAATTTACCCAATCTTCTTTTTAAGCACTTCAAGGACCTGGCCAGGCAAACTTAGGATCCCAACAAGCAAAACCTTATTAATTGCT